ATGTCCGACCCCCGAGCTTTCCCTGGAGCAAATGAACGGTTGTTTAACTGTTTAACTTAACTGTTTGTTCCGCTCCAGAGTGCTTTTGTCACCCCACTTTCCGAAAGAGAACAGTGACGATCACTCTTCGTGGGTACCAAGTAGTAGTTCTTCACGGATACTGTATTTATTTGCACCTTATGGATCCAACGGCCTTGTCAGAAAGGCTCCAAACCAAAATATCCCCACCTTCTCAGGAGGTATGCGGATGCATGGCTGAACTTGGTATGATAGGTGAGATCATCAACTTTAATGAATCCCCTGATTGAACTCCAGGCTGCTCACTTGATGTTCTCGCGCAAACTTCACAGCCGTCTGGACATCCTGAACGGTCTGTGGCTCCAGGAGGAAGCGCGGAGTCAATCCTGAGCGGCGACTGTTCGAACGCTGAGCGAACGCTCAACGTTGAGCGCGAAACGTGGCTCAAAAGGAGTAGACAGACACAAATACATCTGCACCGTCCAGGAAGCGCCTGAAGACAAATGAACGTGTTTCAGGATAGTCCGCTGTTCAAAAGCTGAGAACTTCTCTCATGGCTTGCCTTTGGGGCCGGTTATAACCGCACGCGACAAGCGACCACCGGGTTTCCTCGGTTTTTCTCGGCACCAAGCTGAGCTGAAAACCGGTGTTCGGTCGTGCCGGTTTTGCCAAAGATCCAGCGCACTCCTGATTGTAGACGTCCTGAGCATGGAAGCGGTACTCGGAGGGGAGGTTGGTACTCCATACGTCGGAGGGTTTTCTTGGAACACCTCTGAGTGGACCAACAAAGGAGCGAAACGATCGAAAGGAAGGGACTGGGACGTTAAGAGTTGCTCACCATCCTCCTGAAAAGTTGATCGGTGAACAGCACCCAGAACACCAGCCATATAAGCCGAATACAAACCATGAGTTCGGCCAGCCAGCCGTCTTGATGCTCAACCCTCATGGCTGTTGTGCTAATATGCATAGGACCACAACCGTACATCAATCCTCCACACCACAATCATACAGCCCATGGATGGAGCTTGAAACTCACGTCAAGCTGATTGTAAACCAAACAGTGTTCTTTTGCCACAAACACACACTCCACCTCTACCCCAACCCGCCCACCACCTGTCCACCAATCTATGACTTCATCATGAGATCATGAATTCGCTTCGTGTTCTTCCTTTTTCTTTCCAACAGATCACTCCAACGTCGTCACTCTTTTGCACCAAGACTCCCAGCCATAGGTTTGCATCTGAGCATCACCGCACAGCACTCGTCCGGTGGGCCACGTGGCGTTCCGCAGAATTTCACAGAGAGGATCGTCCGTGAGTCCCGCGCCACGGATCTCAGCATCTTCGTGGAGGCGTCCCTCGTGCGTCCTGACCGAACTGGTGAGACGGTCGGCCCCGGCACCACGAGGAAGCCTTCGGGGGTGGTTCATTGGTGAGCCCAAAGCCTTCAATGACCCTTGAAACGAAACGGCTGAACGGTTTCTTCCTGTACTAGCGAAGCTTAGGGGTTTTCAGTCTTGGAGCAGATCGGAGCAAGTTCCAGAGCAGTTTCCGGAGTTGGCTCCGGAGCGCGGAGCAAGTTCCTGAGAGCCAATTCCGCAACAGGTTCCAGGGCACCTGTTAGGTCCCGGAGGATCCGGGACTTTCAAACCAGTTTCCAAAATTCTGGACAAAGCTTTGCAGCAAAGCTTTGCAGTTGTGGCGTAGTGGATGTCAATGTCATGCTGGCACGGTGTCATGCTGTTGCCATTCCGGGCTACGGTGCTCACATGGTGTTCGCTGTTACGTCAACATTGAACCATTTTGCCACTCTGTCGCGCTAACTTGCAAACATGCTGAGGTGTTGTCATGCCGATATGCTGACATGGGGTCATGGTGGCGTGTTGATATTAGATATATATAATATATGTGTATAACGCGTTGATGGGGACCCGTAGACACGCTAACGTTGTGATCCCGCCGCGACTGGACAGGGCTGAAATCATTGAAAAATTAAAAAGAATAATAATAATCAAAAAAATAATCAAAAAATAATCAACTCAAGAACTCAAATCCAAAACAGACTCAACAACAAAACTCAAAACAAACTCAAAAACAACTCCAAAGCAAACTCAAAAAATAAACTTAAAAAAAAAAATAAAAAACTCAAAAACAACTCAAAAACCATGTTTGAGTCCAATTTGAGTCCAATCTGAGTCCAATTTGAGTCCAATCTGAGTCCAATTTGAGTCCAATCTGAGTCCAATTTGAGTCTCTCATTTGAGTGGCTTTGCAATCTGAGTTTCTGGTCTGAGTTTTTTTTGAGTAGGTTGTTGTTTTTTATCTTTTTCATCTTGACCCCTTGCTGTCTGGGTCCGCGTGATCTTAACGCTAACGTGTTCCAAATTTGTTTGTTACAACGCTCATGATTCACAGCAGCATTGTGATGCAAAAACATAACGCTTGCTAGTGGACTTGTGACGTCGCCATTGCCTCATAGGCGAGTTCAGAATTCTTCATGGTTGGGGATCGTTCTTGGGTGTATTGTTGCGAGTCAGTCCACGCGCGGCCACTTTGGTCGGGCGCCCCGGTTCGGCCGCTTTGGTCGGTTTGGCATCGGTTTGGAGGTTTGGAAAATCTGATGTCCTCACCTATATGCACCTAAAGCCTAAAACATCGTACATACTGTGCATTTGTTGTCCTAAGTCCTAGGGTTGCGCAGAAAGTTCTGTTTTCGCATTATCATGATCATGGTCATATATGGTCATGATGCAGGCGTGGAGGGGAGATTTTTGAGTGGGGTGGAGACTGAACGTTTTGTGTGCGGAGATCGTACATGATGGTAGTGGTGATCATAGTCTTTCCTGGCAGGGGGTGTTTGTTGCTTTCATGTGTCTTTCTTGATGACACCATTGCTTTGTGAAAAGGGAGAGCTTTCGCAGCCAGTGGTACAGGGTACGTACAAGAACGTCTTCCTCCAAGCTATTCTGAATCCTAAGCATCCTTACTTGGCTGTTTTTCTATATATAAGGATCACCCCTGCTAGGAATCAAAAGCTTTTACCTGGACATACCTGGACATATGCAGTCCCTGCCAGTGCCCGCCCTCTGATTCTTGAGAAGGGCAAAAAGTTTTATGGATAGAGCAGGGGAAGCCTTTTGCAGCTGTTCCTAGAACAGTTTTCCTTTTCAGCCATCTGTTCACGTCGGATGAACATGATGAACAAGTTCACCATGTCTGCATCGAAAACAAACATCAGCATCAAACCAAAGGGTAATGTAACAAAAGAAGTGAACAAGTCGAGGGCTCCGGTGAAATCTCTGGTTTCACTCGACGGAACTTTGAGTTGACTTATATAGAAGTCCGAGCAGACAGAGCAGTCCGAGCAGTTTAAACCCACCCACGCACTCTAGAAGGATGCTCATTCTCCAAATAATCCTCTTGAGCGTTTCAGCATTCTTGCTTCAGGCCCCTCCATACACCCCATGCATATGGCAGGGGATCTGTGGGCAAGGGATCTCCCTCGCGCGCCGTGCACCAGCTACGGCCCTAGCACTGCCGGCCAAGAATCAAATGCGCCTGAAGCATTTCAACTGCATCTTCCTCACCACCTGACGACAAGGAAGTCAAGCAATGTTCATCAAACAATTCAGATCAGTGATTTCCTTGTGAGTACCATTTATTGTAACTGCTGGTTGTACCCTTGGAGGTATCCCCTTTCTTGATCAACCAACTAGTAAAAAGGCTATCTTTGATTCAGATCCACGTCATGACCCAAAAGAACCGGCCGTCCAGGACGATTCGGGTGGTGTCCAGGCGACCTGGGGAACTCGAACTTGGAATGCCTCTGTGGGCTTTCATAAATTCTAATTAAACATAATTCTAATAGCTTCTTGATACTACTAGTAAGGCACTTGTTACTAGAAGCGATGCACTTGTTACTAGTAGCTTCTTGTTACTATGTGGGAGACCTCTTTGAGGCCGAAGAAGTGCCACAAGTCTTGTGCGAATCCAGTGACGGAGAAGGCCAGCTGGTGAGCGCGAAGTCGCCCAAGGAAATCAGGGAACGATTGGTTGGGAAAAGTACAAGAGTTAGGAAGACAAGACAAGCTCATGCGGAAATTGATTGCTAAGTAGATGACACCAAAAACCTCTTAAAGCTGCATCCAATACCTTGCTCAATTTAAACATGCAAACCAACCCTGTAAACGACACCACCTGCTCGTGCAAAACAGCTGAGTAGTACCTACTGCTCCATTAATTTACTTGTACAACATGAAATGTAACAAAGAACCCCTTCATAATCACCATTGCAAATACAAATCATAGGCCATACACCGAGCTATATGTTTATCAAGTTCCAGAAGTAAACCTTCCGACCGCAGCGGTCGTTCCAAAGAGCTGAAGAGCTGGGAGTCCTCTGCGCAGTGGTGTGGCTCGTCCCATCCGAGTGGATGTGACAGGGGCACCCACAACTGCGACGTCCACCATGGATAGCATCCCGACATGGAACTGTTAGAAGAACACAGTTCTTCAACGCCTTCAATTAGACTCAGAGCCGTTTCTTTTGGGGGGTGTTTGATCCAGTGAGCCCATCCAATGCTGGCAGCCAAAACGAACCCTTCTATTCTTCAAGTCGGTTCTCCAGCCTGAAGGGCACTCACCAGCGCAGGTGGCTGTCACCAGGCTCCAAGCTGCTAAAAAAGCTGCCGCAAAGAACATCATGGCAAGCCTCCTCAAAAGGGGTTTCTTTTCCGAGGCCTTCCTGAGCCAACAAATGGCTGAAAGATGCTGCCAGCAACACCTGCTTCGCAAGAGGACTGCAACATTGCGGACCCTGCTCCCTGCAATTGATCGAAAATAATCGAACCAACGCCTCCAATCTCCTTCTTGATGTGCTCATGAGTTTCCGCTGTTCTGGATGAGTGGTGTGCCACGGAATCATGTTTCTGAATGCCTCATCCTCTTCAGGGCTGCTGAACCCAAACTGGCCATGGTCGTGCCTCATCTCCAAGCTTCCGAAGGCAGCAGCCTGGGACCTGCTGCTAAACGCAGCGTGCAGGTCGCTGCAGCGGGAAAAGACTGCATCGGACCTGAAACAAAGCTTTAAAACTACAAAACCTACCACTTGTCACTATAGATTTTTCACCTACCCAAACCAAACCATTGGGGGAACATAGAGGCTGTTGCCCATGAAACCCAGGTCTTGCTGACCCTGAAATCCAGGTGGCCTTCAGGTTGTTGGTTCTTACCAATACAGCTGTCTATGAGTGATAGCTTGCTGCAGCTTGCCGAGTGGTCCTTCACCTGATTGGCCAAAACTTGAAGTCTCGAACATGCTCCTACATGGCCTTTGGAATCCCTAGCCCCTGGCAGCTCAAAACACAAGGGGTGTGTGTGTGTTGCTGCATACGACATGAAATCCAAAGTGTTTCTTCTTAGTAAGTTCCCTTGGGTGTGAATCTGCTTCTGCTGGTACTTTCAGCTCATGCAGCTCAAAGCAAAAAGACAGCAATCTGATCATCTGCGTTGAACTCGATCTGCAGCTCTACAGGATATGGTTCCCAAAAAAACACGGTGCAAATGATGTAATCTTCAATAGCCTCCTCCCTAGGAATTTGTTTACCATAAGCATCTCTCGTCTTGGTGTCCACATGTGACCTTACTGCCTTTCATCGGACCCACGCCTAGCCATTGCTCCGCCTGCGACACGGCACGCTTCTCGGACCTGTGATGGCTCCCGTCAGACTGTCTTCCTTCCGTTTGGGCCGCTTAGGAACATGGGTCAAAGCTGATTCGATGAACATTATGAGCAACAATTTGGGGAAGGTCTAGAAAAACGTTGAAATTCCTCGACCTTCGAAGAATTGGGTCAACTCCTTGAGGTATGAAAGCCTCGGAGGAAGAAATAGGGAACCTGTAAGTCTGAAAGTGGTGCAAGTGGGAGACTGGCGGATGGGGAGTCTCTCAACCAACCAATCTAGAATGACAATATATAAATATATCTATGTCTATATGTGATTATATATATATATATCTATGATAATCTTTGTAATATCATCACAGAGGAGCTTAGCTGTTCATTGTGAAACTACGTGAAAAGCGTGGAGAAGCCAAATCCCAAGACATCTTGGGACCAACATGGTTCAGGCACCTAGGCTTGACAAAGAAGCAAAAATGATCAGACTCCTCTTGAGTGGGTGCCCAAGAAAATCGGATGCTGAGGAGTTCGTACCTGATCATGGGTTTGCTTCGGGCGAAAGCTCTCTAAACACCAAAAAGAGGCGCCAAAGATGGTCACCCTTTCAGCTCCATAGCTCAGTTCTATCTCACGCTATCTCACGCTCGCGCGATCTTTGCAGTCCAGCAGCCGTTTGCGGTATTCCACCTGAAAGGGAGTGCCGAACCAACCAAGGTCCTGCCCGCGCGGCCCCCATCGTTTGTATGTCTTTTGAAGCACAGCGCGACCGGAAGGGAGCACCAGGGTGAAAAGCTTGGGTCGACATATTATGTAGACTCTTGATTATATGTCAATCCCCCATATGATGAAGACGCTTTACAATTGAGACCTAACAAGTCTGGTATGAGGCCAAATCATTGAAACTGTTTTTGTTTAATGATTTCATTACGTTTTATTTGTGAAAACCCCAATACAACAAAATGGATGAAATCAAAAAGAAAAGGCAAGACATTAGCCCTGTGAACAAAACATAAATTTGTCCATACCATGTTTCATAATTGTGTCATAAAATATGCATAACATGTGCATATGTTTCTCGAAACTTATGACACATGTATGAACTGTTTGTGCAAACTGATTAAAAGTTGTATGACAGTTTTTATGAATTCAGGACTTTATGATTTCTTACGCCGGAATTTATGATTGTGTTAGCGAAAAGTTGAAAAAAATATGGTTCCATAAAATCCAGCGCAATGGGTTTATAGAATGTCCTTTAAAACAATAGAACAGATCTATGTTGAAGAGGTTGTACCAACTTGCTGGATCTCAACCTTACAATCCAAATGGTCAGTGAGACTGTATGAATCAAGAGTCTACAAAACACCGGATGTCTAACAGGTGAAGCTTCCCCGGAATCCCCCGGAAGTAGTCAATCGAGGAATATCTGGTAGGTGTTAGAGCTCTCTGAATTCTGAGAACTGTGAAGGTTGTCAAAATCCACAGCGTCTATATAGGTGTTCAGTTCTTTGACTTCCCTCAGTATACGGGGCGTGATTTGGGGGGGAGCATCCAACAACATGTCACAACTACCACACGAGAAGCACTTCCCTCGCATCGAGCGCTGTGTTGTCATCCACAGCCTCGGAAAGAAACGACCCTAAAGTGATCGTGCCACCCACCTGAACGAGCTTCCAAGCAACCAGGGAGATCAGCCAAATACAGGTCGTAGAGTTGCATACACATGATTGTATGTCTTTGACACCTGAGAGACAATCTTTCTCTCCAAAGCCATCCCTTGAAAGACCATGCGACAATGGAACACCCCCATTGACGTACACGCCAGGGTAATGGAGGCCTGATTTGAGTTCAATCATGCTGGCCGCCAGTTTGGCTTTCTTGCAACTTCTGGCAAATCTAGTTACTAATTGTGGGCAAAACCTAGAATCTGAATCTGACATAGAACCCCTGAACAAGTTTCTTTCTTTATGTATCTCATTCTTTCCTCCTTGTAATGGGCTGAAGAACTGAACCTTCTTCTACAAACAACTGATTTTTGTGTTCATACCACTTGGAGAGGCTGACTGTGCCCCCTCTGAGTCCGGCTCCTGGCGGATCTTGTTCTCCAAGTAGATCTTGTAGTTTGGCCCAAACAGCCGTGGGTTGTTGCAAAAGAGCACCAACCTCACCCGCAGCTGGGCAGCTGCCACATGCCAGCTTCGCGCATTTCTGGGGGCGGGGTTGCAGGGGAGGCCCTCCCATTGTTTGGGTGGAATAAGGTGACAATGGGTGTAGCAATGTGTCGCAGTGGAAGAGAAGTCACCGAAACATGATTCCCCTTGCAGTTCTGGGAGAAGGCAGAATCTGAAAGACTATGTCCTGCATCCTCTTGATGGCTTTCTCATAGATTCGTGATCTTCTCAGCGGGGTCGAACTGAGTATGACAGCGGGGTCGAACTGGAAAACTCTTTCCTTTTACCAAACAGCGGGTATGACTGGACCACTCTCTCCCTACACCTCCAACCACCTGTGAAGGTCTGCAGGTAGAGACTGACCCTCTTCAGGGTCACCATCTCAATGATCGTTTCAGGTGAAAGCAGCTCAACTGCTAAAGACCCCCCCTGAGTGATTCAGGACACCTAAACGACCTAAACGACCTAAACCTACATACCTATCATTGGGACAGTGCACACTTCGCACTGCTCTTTCTTTTTCTCTGATGGATCTTCATCGCTGGCTTCTTCACTTCATGCCCTATGGACCCTAGCGATTGCCAGCGATCAATTGGTCACTTCGAGAGACGAATTGATCACGCTTTGCCACCGTTGGATTTAAAGGTACTTTGGAGATCCTGGTGCTGCTTTGCTTTGATCCCAGGTACCTAGAAGTGGCTTCCCCAAGTGACCAAACCACATGCCTTTCCGAAAGCCAAGGTCGTTTTCATGGCTGCAAGGGCAAGGCACTGTGGGGGTTCGATGGCTGTCTGGGTGGCGTAGTAAACGCGGCCCTGTTTGGAGTTGTAGGCCTGCAAGCGTAGCCACGAGCGGCCCAGGCCAGTGACAAACTCAAGGCAAACTAGAATGGGGTACACCCCAAAACGCTACTTTTAATTTAATGGTTGGTAAAACCAACAGATTGGTGAAAGGCACGGTGAAAGGGGACATGGAATGGAACTGGCACCACCAGCCCGCGATTCTCGCCCAAAAACCAAGCTGAGGACGCATTCATCATCATTCATCCAATTGCATGATCCACTTCACCGGCATGACACTTCGGGGGGCCTTGTTACTAGTAGCGTCCTTGTTCCTAGTAGCAAGAATGCTCCTAGTAGCACGGCCAGGAGCCCCGTTCGTCGCGTCCTTGCTCCTAGTAGCGATGCCAGGAGCTCCTAATAGCGAACATTGTTCCTAGGAGTGTCGGATCCCACACCTGGAAGTCAGGAAGTCGGGGCAGTTTCATGGCTTCCACATGACGACTTCGCCGGATGAGACACCGGTGGTGTTCACATCCATGTGGACGTCGGTAGGGGAGGTCTCCAGGTGTTGAGAACTTCCTTTGGTTTTGTATGTCCAAGATCTCAACAGCTCAACAAGTTGAAGGAAGAAATCTGCAATACCAACCCAGGTGCTTTGTTCCCTGAGCTACCCTTGGTTTCTTGACCTTTTCTAGGTGGTACCAGCGTCTTTCATCCTTCGACCGTAAGGATGAAAAGTACTTCGATCAGCAAAGACTCTGCTGCTTGAGAAAGGTCGCTTGATTGTTGTGCGGGTATGGCTAGAAGATCCGTTTTTCCCCGCCCAAAGGGTGACGTCGAACATATCAAGAGTGGCAGGATTCCTACAAAAAGCGACCAAAAACGGCCATTTCTTGCTACAGGGCCTTTTCTTTGTTCAGATTGACCCGCATCCCCAACCCACATCTGCAACACCCGCCTTCGCTGGCGGCAGCTTCCAAAGCAAGGCATCTCTTACGACCTACACTGGGCCGCTTGAGCTCTTGTCTCAGGGAAGACCATCATAGGACATCCACCGATATGGTGTGGGTACTTTCTTGGAGCACTCTGGCCTGACAAGCACGCAAAGTCAGCAGTTTGTTCTCAGGATAAAAGTTATATAGTTATATACCACCTTCCAAAGAAGCACATAATGTTATTTGTGCTTTCTTAGAACCAAGATGTTGAAAAAACACACGTACCAACTAAGCTGGGATATGTTATTTCATGTTATTTCTATATGCTCAAATCTAGCGTGTTTCCGGCGAACTGCTTACAGGTGGTTCTCTTGAAACCAAAAGCACTGCTGGTCAAGGAAGGCTGACACTGCGACCCGAGGACCGCTGGAAAAAATGGCACGGAAGCACAACAAGTCTACACTTCCTGGAATAGTCATGGAAGTGGATGGCCCCTTCGATGACAAATGAAATCCTCTACAAACAGGCGGTGAACTCACTCCACTTCTATCGTGATTTCAGAGACTGGCAGTTGTTGATGCGCACATTCCCCAGACAACCCGCCAAATCCCCTGTCAACCACGGCCCAGACGACAACCCGCCTCATTCAAGACATTCGTTGGAATACGCTTCCTGCAAGGGTCTTCCGTTTCGGCGAAGATCAGTGGCGAATGGTGGTTGCGAATGCCCTTGAGACGGCCAGACCGATCTTCTACTCGGGTCCCGAGCCGGTGTTTGCTTTGGAAAATGTAGAGGTTAACATTTTTCCAGCTGCTCATGTTCAGTGGGGCTCTCCCAATTTCAAAAAAAGATGACTTGCATATTATCCACTAGGGTAGGTGTTCCCTCTCCCAGTCTTGCATCATATGCCGCCATCAATGTCTATCCAGCCTCAAAGGCCGTTTGATCATACGGCGATGGGTCGTGGCACACTGACTACCAGGGGTCCGGGTCAACCTACCAGAGGACTTCAAACGTTCGCGTCCAGGAAGAAACACATCAGCTGGATGTGTCTGATCTTGGGTTTGCTTAAGGAGCCCAGAACGGGATGCTCAGCTCTGTTAGACCCATCATGGACTGGTCGGTCCAACCATCAGACACAGTGAGACCCGGTTTGAGTCTTAGAATGTCATAATAGCTCATCAGTCCATTGACCAGGGGGGCGTTGGATGGTACCCGATCTTTAAGCCACAGCCATACAGCCACATCACGATTAAATGGTCTGTCTTTGTTTTTGGGATTGCCCCATATATCTACAGTATACAGTATATATATATAGAGAGAGAGAGAGAGACATTTGTATATGTGTGATTCAACTTCCAACTTCCTGTCTTTCCTGGCGAACTTCAGACTATGCATATACACTTTGAATTTGACAAATATAAGTGAGCGCAAAAAGTACAACTACCGACAAAATACATTGCAAATCCTTACAATAAAGACTTCACGGCCGGTCGCCCACCCCCGCATCCGTAAAAGCAGGCAACAATGGAGAGTAGCTGAATCCCAACAGAATACACCCTCAGAAAAATTGGGTGAATCAGCAAGCAGAGCAAGCAAAGCAAGCAGAATCCGAAAACTCCGTCGCCTGTGGGCTGCCAAGGTCTTGTCAACAGCTTCAAGCACCTGCGACCGCAGACCCAACGGATCGGTTTCGAGGGGGCACAAAGCTGAGGTTGCAGGGGGGCCCGGCAAGCAAGAAACAAGTGACCCGTCTGCACCAGGAAGACGTGCGCAGAAGAAACCTGCAACAAGGGTCACAACCCACAGGGGTCCTTCAAGGTTTCTGGAAGGTCTGTGTGGTCCAGGGGTCCTTCGTTGTTCTTCAAACTGAGCTTCATTGGCTTCACGTTGAAACCTTAAAGAAATGAACTGATGTAGGGAATGATCCGAAACACTCTCCCCCAAACGAACGGGCATAGCTACATGACATAGCCATAGTGCTAGCTGGGAAGCTTTTCTGGACTCCAGTTGACTATGACTTCGGATCTCATCATGGTTTCATCCCATCATCCCATCTGCCCACTCAATCTCACCTTTAAAACAACAAGAACACCAAAGACCTAAAATCTTCTCGTTATATAATAGCGATGGCCTCCAACCTAATAGCGATGCCCTCCACCTATTAGCTTCTTGCTACTAGAAAGCTTGCTTGTTACTAGTATAGCGATGGCCTCCAACCTAATAGCGATGCCCTCCACCTAGTAGCTTCTTGCTACTAGAACGCTTGCTTGTT